CAGCAGTTGCAATCAATGCTAGTTCAAGTCGATGCATGAAATAGTGCACATGGTATGTGCTCGGTCGATTCTTAAAGAATAGAGCTTGCTCTCCATTTTACGAGTCATGCATATTGTGAATTTGTAAATCATATCTCATAAATTTGTCTATTGTAGCTCTATATATACATCATTAAGCTCATGAGAAGAGATCCATCTTGATCATAATACACGTGAACACGCCTCCCCCTCATCTCTCTCTCTCTCTCTCTCTCTCTATATATATATATATATATATATATCTCATTCGAGCTTTGTCTTCTTCTTGTTGCTCCACCGGTACAAGTTGAAGAGGTGTAAGACTGATACAGTAGAAAATCCCAAAGGTAATCGAGACCTCGTGATCATCTACAAAAGTCGACGAACCACGACCCGAAGGCCGAGGATCGCCGACCACAACCCTGCCGGACTACCGCCGCGACCTGCCGTGAGAAGCCGCAACGACCGGCGACCCGATCGCGACCGCCAGCCCCGCACGACACGACGTCCCAGTGATCCACACGACCACGTGACGACACGTTTGCGCTCCCGACCCGGTCGATCCCCTTCCATTCGTGTGTTGTTCCCAGTCATCCCGAATCAGACAGATTTAGAAAATTTTAAGCTGTAAGTTTTCTACATCAAACCTTTAGATCCGCTGCGCATAGGTTTACATTTGCTATTGAATTCGTAACTTGTACATAACGAGATCTTCATAGATTCCAATACTTAGTTCTTCATCATAATTTGATAACACTGGCGAGCTTGCTGTTGTTCCTCAAAAACCTCTCCGACCTAGTTCCCTATCAGGAATTTTACCTTTAGGCAGTAAGTTGAAATTGCTTCTTGGGACGAGTTCAGACTAGGTCGCCCTTGGATGACACTATATGCTGCGGTCGCGTCTATCACCATAAACATGACCAACCTTCCTGTCTTTAGAGGTAGCTCTCCTAGTACGACCATTAGGTATACTTCACCTACTGGTTTGACTTCCTCTCCTCCAAAATCATAGAGGATTGTGTCAGTTGGCTCCAATCTTTCTTTCAGGCTCATCCGCTCCAAACACTAGAGGAAAATCACGTCAACTGAGTTGCCCGTGTCCACCATAACCCTTCGTACCACATAGCTTTCAACTTTTGGACTTATTACTAAGGCATCATTGTGTGGGAGTAGGACATCTATGGCGTCTTTCAGTCCAAAACTGAGAGTAGCCTCGGGTGGTCCTTAGTGGATTTATACCAACTTCTTTTCCCTACCCTGGTCACTGTGAAGTTCTTGTTCAGGGGACCCTTCGGTGATAACTTGGATTTCTTTGCCTTTATAGGCTTTAGTTATTGTTGTTTCTCTCATGGTTACTTGAATTTTTGAACTGCTTTCTAAATTTCTTAGTTGTGAGAATATCATCAGCCCCTTATAACCAGTAAAGAGATTGGGTTCCCCACATAAGACACCAATTTGATACGTGACCTTTGGTCAAGATCAGGTTGAACACCTTCCACTTAGAACGATCCTCTTCCTTGAGCTCCTGATGACCTACAATACGCTGAGAGGGGTTCCCAGCGAAAAACTCTGCGACGCTCAAGTCAGAACTCTCTCAAAGCTGTAAATTAATACAGAGTATAGAAAATAGGCGTGGATTGTGTTTTGTATATCTCTAGAGAACCTGTCGTCCTTATATAGGAATGCATACCTCCAAACATAAGAGAGTTCTTGTTAGGGAAGAGATCCACCCAGATTCTACTTTCCTAACTTACCACATCTCTATCTTGGCAAGAGTCTTTGAACGAGTGATTCTTTCCTTCTTACTTGGGTTCTTCCCCCTTTTATTGTCTCATGCCGGGGACCCTGAGGTTGTGAACCCGACCTTCCATCTTGTCTGTTATGACCCTTCTGAGAACATCCTTAACCTTGTCCTGAGGTCTCACCAACCTCACCTTTAGGCCCAACTTACCCCCTGGCCACCTGACCTTGATATACTACTTCACCGAGCTCTTGGAGGCCAGTAACTCCAGGTAGGGTTTGTTCTATAAGCTCGACACTCAAACCCGTGTCCGGTCTACTTGGCCGAGCACCTTTCTCTTATCTCAAGAGAGTTCTCCTAGTTCGAACATAGTCGAGATACTCTCTCAGACCGATGTACCGGGCTGTCTTCTGGGTGTTATATCAAACTCATATCTAAATTTATAGGAACTGCCAGAGATATCAACTAGCGGAACGTTATCCCGTCTATTACAGGAGATATGTTTGATCAAAATCAATACCAGGTCTCTGCGAAAACCCTTGAGCAACTAATCTCTCTTTGTATCTCGCCATCTTATTTTCATTTCTCTTTCGTACAAACACCCATTTATATTTAATTGGGATAACATTTTGAGGTGTACGCAAAATAGAGCCAAAATCTTTCATTTATTTAGCGAGTCTAGTTCAGCCTCAATTGCCTATTTCTATCTTACCCAATCGCTCATGCCATATCTAAATGAATTTGGGCCTTTAAATTTTAAGCTCAATACAACATGATTAATAGAAGGTCGAATGTAAGTATGATACAACCCTGATAAGAAGGATGGGAGTACTTTTACAATTTTCTTTTGACTTCCTTGTGATTGAGTCATAAGTTGAAACTCTATATTATTTTGTGTCTTAGTTTCAAGATGAAATCTATTTGATCGAATATCTTTACAATTAAGGAGTGTTCTTTTGGATTCAGAGTACAATAGCACATCATTAATTATTAATTAATGAGAAATGCTATAGGTACATAATATTTTACATAGGAGTATACATAACACTTACATTGAGTGAGTCCTACCAAAAATAAAAAATCAAGTGGACCCCACTTCATGTGAGTGTTATGTACACATCTATGTATATTTATTATGTACTTGTAGCATTTTCCTTAATTAAGTACTCATAGGAAAGGTTAGGCAAGCTCTATCGGAGCCTACTATCAGTGTATTACCATGAGCAATTATAGTAACACTTCATTTTCTCTTTAATTAAAGTTTGAAAAAAACTTATATCATTCAAAATAGTGTCCGTAGTACTGTCGACCAGAAAAACGCCATCTTTCTCTATTAGATGCAAGCTGGTAAATGGTTGTGGTACACTACTTTTAAGTGATTCTGAATAAAATTGGCTCGACGACAAGTGGGCGGAGATCTGAGCAGCGAGTTTGCCGTTAATGGTCGAGATGAATCGGGTGAGTTTGGATATAGAATGAGTGACGATGATATATAACGATTAGAGCGTGTTGATAACGTGTTGTAAATTGAAATCTTTAATCTTTACCAAGCTCTCTTCATTGCACATCAAACATATGAAACAATATAATTGTAATGCTGTAAAGAGAAAGAGCAAAAAAAGTACTCTATCCTATTCATAATAAGTGTCGTTTTGGGAAGTTGCACACTAATTAAGAATAATTTTTTACCAATAATAACCCTCATTAATGAAGATAGAGATGAATGTTTTAAAAAAAAAAGATGAAGAGAATATGAAAAGACGTAGTGTATTTATTAAATAAATGAGGGTAATAATGAAAAAATATATACAAAAGATCCAAAACGACATTTATTTTGATTAATAGTTGATAAAGTCAAAATGACATTTAAAAAGAATATGAGGTAGTACGTAATTTCATTCATCGTGTTCTCCCTTTTATAGGCTTTACAAAATATACCTAAATCTAATCTAACTTAACTTATGGGTTCCAGGCCCAATAAGTATTTTATTAATGTTCACACAATATCTATATATATATAAAGAGGGAGTTGATGGAATTTATTGCTAAATAAAGATGGTATGAAATGACTATAATTGGCAATATTTCTACATTTGGTTGTGTAATTGTAAGTTATATTTACCTGCCATAAACCCGTGCACTGTTATAATAGGATATGTTTAATTATGTTATAGTAATATAATATTATGTGCCATTGATTCGATATAATATGTATAATATTACCTGCCATAAACCCGTGCACTGTTATAGTAGGATATGTTTAAATATGTTATAGTAATATAATATTACCTACCATTGATTCGATATATAGAATATATTTCTGAATCCATATAAATCTCAATATGTATAAATAAACTAAGTAAATCTCGATATGTATAAATAAACTAAGAAATCACAAAAGAAAATATAGTAATACTATCAGTATTGAATAATATAATATAACCTACCATATACTTCGTGTACTGCCATTGTTACAGAGTTTATCCCTATAGGATGACTATTATATAACATGCTCATGCCTACGAGTTTATTCATCGCCTATTTTCTTTGCATTATTACAGTGTCGTGTGATTTAAGAAAAAAAATGGCGCTTATCAAAGATATCAACATGGACAAAACAGAGTGGGATCTCAAGCTTCGTTTGATTTGGTGCTACGATAAAACTTTCATCAATGATAGGACTTGTGTGTATAAATTCGACTGCGTGTTTCATGATTCTGAGGTATCGTAAGTTAGTTGATATTTATTCAATAATTTAGTTTCATAATTATAATTCAAATTTTATTTTTTGTAGGGTATGCGCTTGCATGCTACAATTAAGAAAAATATCATGAATCAATTCAAGCCCAAACTCAAGGAAGGAAAAGTCTACCGTTTGAGGGATTTCATTGTTGAGAACAACAACGGAAAATATAAGACTTCAATTTTTGAGTATAGAATTAAGTTTTATGGCAAGACCAAGTGTACTGAAATTAATGAGAGATCCTTTCCCAATTTTATGTTTGAGTTCAAAAGTTTCGAACAGCTCACTTCAGCTACTCATATCGATGAGAATCATTTATTCGGTAAGTACTTATCCTTATCTCTTTATGTTATTATGTAATTACGATCAAAAATCTATCTAAAGTTTTTAAATCTAATCTTCAATAGATGTGATTGGGCGGGTGGTCAGTCGTCAACCTCCGCAGATCGAAGAAATTGATGGCAGAACTTCACGTTTTGTGGAAGTTGTTCTGGAAGATTTGAAGTAAGTCTATGAGAGATGAAGAAGTTCACTATTTTGATCGACTATTGTTCTATTGTTAGTTTTTGTCTTTTCATAAATTTATTCCTAGAACTCACTTGAAATTAAATATTCGTGTCTTTATTATGTCATATTGGATTGATATTTCGTTAATTAAATTAAGGCAACTTTGTTTTATAAATTATACATGTATGTATATGTTCAGGTGAGTTCTATATAAATGATAGCTATTTTTTCTATAAATTATTGTTTGTTTCAACAACATGCTGCATATCTTCCTCTCAATTTAATATTTCTTATCACATGAAAAATAGCTGAATGATACTTTTTAAGTTAACGAGTTTAATGATATAGCGGTTATGTGGCTTAGTTTTGATTTGAGATTTTTGTAAATGATTTTTAAGTCAACTGTAAGCATTTAAGTCAACGATTAATGCATCTAAAATTTGGAAAGATTGTCGAGTTTTGAGATTGACTAAAAACATGAGACTTCAGAGTCATGGTGGGAATGAAGAGTACCATAAATTGGTTGAGTTTGCCGAGTGGATTGCAGGAATTGGAGATGGAACAATAGGAGGAAGCGAAGACGATTGTGCGGATATTGACATACCTGGTGAATTTTTGCTGCGGAATTCTGATGACCCCATCGCAACCATCGTGGAAAGCACTTATCCAATGGTTAAAGATTGCATTGATGATCCCATCTATTTGAAAGATAGAGCTATATTAGCTCCAACATTAGATGTTGTTGACTCCATCAATGAGTATATGTCATCTTTGAATCAATCGGAGGGTCATACTTATCTATGTTCTGACAGCACATGCAAATCTGATGGTGGTGTTGATTTCTTGCATGACCTGCACACGCCGGAGTTCTTAAATAGTATAAAATGTTCTGGTGTTCCAAACCATGAATTGCACTTAAAGGTTGGAACTCCTGTCATGTTGTTGAGAAACATTGACCATTTGATCGGTCTTTGTAATGGAACACGCTTGGTGATAACGAAGCTTGCCACTCACGTGTTTGAATGTAAGATTCTAACAGGATCAAATGCTGGACATAAGGTATTGGTACTAAGACTTTCCCTAACTCCATCTGATCTCAGGATCCCCTTCAAGTTCCAGCGTAGACAATTTCCTCTTATGGTTTCTTACGCAATGACAATCAACAAGAGTCAAGGGCAGTCGTTATCCCATGTCGGACTTTACTTGAAAAGACCCGTGTTTAGTCATGGCCAATTATACGTTGCTGTTTCGCAATTGAAGATATTAATATGTGGCGACGATAATGGGGAAAGGAAAACTACTAAAAATGTTGTCTATCGAGAAGTTTTCCACAATTTGTAATACTATACAATATTGCATTTTTACTATCGACTCAATAATATTGTTATTTATTTTTTATTTACTTTTTATGATATATATATATATATTAATATATTTATTTAAAATATTCTAATAAATATGTCCCGTGCATCGCACGGGTAAAAACACTAGTAATATTTATAACAAAACTAACATTACGGATAATGATTTTGCTTGATAACGAGTTTTTTTTTGGCTAAAATTAGAGATTGGAGCTCTATAGTAGAGGTTTAATAGATCAAATTATATATTTTCGCTGATTGGTGGAAAAGAAAAATAGGTTAATATTTTTGCTTCAAAGACTAATTAAAAAAATCCAAATAAGCTTTTTGTGAAGAAAACATTGCATACTTTTTATGTGGCAGTTTTCTATATTTTTATTAATAATTAAATTGAGCATTACCTATATAAATTGCTTAAAACAAATTAATTGATGAACTATTAATAACTTTTTATACAGTAAGTAAACTTAATATATTTATTTATTATCTGTTTTAAAAATTATACATCTACTAATTTGAATTAACCATTCAAGTTGATAATAAATAATAAATTTATCATGTAGACTTAAACTATAATTAAATCTAGGTGACACTTGTTATATACTAATATTTATTTATGGATTACTTTTATATAATGAATTATTAAAATGTACTAATCAAACAAACTAAAATTTAATTAGCTAATCACCATCATCACCAATACGATCACCAATACAACCTCCACTGAACTAATCACGAGTGAGGTTTTACTTTATAGGCTTTGCTGTCCCTAATTTCCAAATTCCGAAAGCCCGTCGCGTCTTTTAAACCCAAACACGGCCCACGCAAATGCACGCACTCCACCGGCTAGTTCCCACTGCCATGATCTCCGCCGCCTCTACGCTGTCATCACCGGCTCTGGTAGCTGTTAGAAACCCTAGATTCTCAATATCTCGCAATCCAATACTTCCCAATGCAATTAACTTCACGAACCAGCTTTCTCTCTCCCCCCGCTTCCCCAATGCTTCCGTTCGGTGCTTCGCCGCCGCCGCCGCCGCCGGAAAAGTCCACGTTCAGAACCCTATCGTCGAAATGGATGGTACTTTGGAAACATAAATATTTGTTGAACTGTATTAGCTGTTATTGGCAAGTTTTGTTGCTTACTTTTTTGGAGATTTCAGGTGATGAAATGACGCGAGTTATATGGAGTATGATTAAAGAGAAGGTCCGAATTACGAGCTCTGGGTTATCATGTTTCTTGTTCTTCCTTATTAGTCTATTGTTCGTGGAAAAGTGTTAGTGCTTAGTGGTTGTTTGGTTCTTGGATTTCTTTTGGTGAATGCAGTTGATATTTCCGTATCTGGAACTGGATATAAAGTATTTTGATCTGGGAATACTAAATCGCGATGCAACTGATGATAAAGTAACTGTAGAAAGCGCGGAAGCAGCCCTTGAGTAAGTTTGTGATTATCTGGAGCTACTATGGAAAATATTATGAGGATGATCAAATGTTTTATATTGATGAATTTGATCTAATGATTGCTATTGGCGAATTCTTCTGCTTTCGACACTTAAAGGAACATTTCTTGGCAACATAATGCTAGAATTAAATGAGAATCAAGCACAGACATAAACTTGTGAATAGATATAAGTTCTTGCAAACATATATAATTATTTGAAAGACTTGTTACGTCAGTAATGAATAACCCATGAGGCTCATGCACTTTACCCTGCAAGAGTGGCGGATATTGCCATTATTACAAATGCTTATTGTGTAACAAGTGTGATTCCACAGTTCTGTATTTTGTCCAGGTACAATGTTGCCATAAAATGTGCTACAATTACCCCAGGTTACTTTCCTTCCAGTATTCTGCTACATTTTATAATTCTTATGGTAATTATGAAAACAACATGTAATTTTATTGTTGTTTCAGATGAGGCTCGGGTGAAGGAATTTGGACTAAAAGCTATGTGGAGAAGTCCCAACGGCACAATAAGAAACATTTTAAATGGTCTGTATGTATAATTTGTAGTCATGCTGTTTCACTATCAGACATCATGTTGTCTTATGAATGCTGGATAATGCATCTTATTTGTTTTGTTTTGCATCACTTTTTTAGGAACTGTCTTCCGCGAGCCTATCTTATGCCAAAATATTCCCAGAATTGTTCCTGGTAACAATTTTATTGTTATTTCACGAGTGAGAATTGAAATTATTTGAACTACTGTTAAGCTATCGTGACCTTATTTTTCAGGCTGGAAAAAACCGATTTGTATTGGCAGACATGCATTTGGTGACCAATATCGTGCCACTGACAGAATAATACAAGGACCTGGAAAGCTTAAAATGATTTTTGGTTAGCTGATTACCTTAATTTAGTGTATGGCACATTTAGTAAAAAAAAGTACTGCTTCCACAATTGCGTGCAACATGCTTACACTTTCGCACCTTTTCTATGATGTTTGTTTCTCAGCTCCAGAAAATGGTGATGAACCCTTGGAACTGGATGTGTATGATTTTAAAGGTCCTGGTGTGGCCCTTGCTATGTATAATGTTGATCAGGTGTGTTGTTTATTGATCTAACAGCCAATTGCTAGCGTTAGTGTACATATCCAATGAATCATCCCCTTACCATTTCTCCTAATCCATCAGTCTATTCGAGCGTTTGCGGAATCATCAATGGCAATGGCGTTTGGGAAGAAGTGGCCTCTCTATTTGAGTACAAAAAATACCATTCTTAAGAAATACGATGGCAGGTAAGTTATTGTTTTTCTTTTCTTTTCCTCATTTCTTGTTTGGTAAATCAGGTCCATGGCTTATTATCTGTGACATTGAATGATAACTCACAGTATACAACCCACATTGCCATTGTTTCAGGTTTAAGGACATATTTCAGGAGGTGTATGAAGAAAAATGGAAGGACAAATTTGAAGAACACTCCATATGGTTATTTTACATTTTTTATGCACTGTAATATGCATATCTGTATTGTTCCCTGGAGTGCCTACACAATGTTCTTTGCTTTTGTTCAGGTATGAGCATCGGTTGATTGATGACATGGTTGCCTATGCCGTGAAAAGTGAAGGTGGATATGTCTGGGCTTGTAAAAACTACGATGGAGATGTCCAGAGTGATTTACTTGCTCAAGGTGATTTTATCTGGCAACGAAATATACATTTCCCTGCAAAATATGGTTGTATTCTCATGCAGTTTTCAGTTATTTTATGATCTTATTAGCCCAATCATGTGGATATAATTTGTTTTGTAACTAAGGGTATGTTATGTAGCTAGGCTAAACCTGGTATCCACGTAGTTTATCTAGTATGCTTACATCCAGTTACCTCTTTTAGTGGTGTGGCTTCCTGTATCAGACACTGTTTCCAAATTTCAACTGCAATACAACATTTTCTCTCTCTTTTTCTCTCTAATCATCTTGCAATACAATGTCAAAAGAATGATTATCCTTCCGAATTTCTTTGCTTTTTGCAGGATTTGGTTCTCTTGGGCTCATGACTTCTGTTTTGGTTAGTCCTGATTTAGCATATCCATTTATCTCATGATGTATGTTCGGTTTTGTGACACTTATGTTTGCTTTGCAGTTGTCTGGTGATGGTAAAACATTAGAAGCTGAGGCAGCTCATGGTACTGTGACCCGTCATTTTAGGCTGCATCAAAAAGGACAAGAAACCAGCACCAATAGTATTGCTTCCATCTTTGCTTGGACACGCGGATTAGAACATAGGTCGGTTGTTCTTGCTCATGTGAAATTGTATTTTTTGAGGCTTGATCTATGTCTTTCGATCTTGGCGTTTGAATCTACAGCCACCTTTTTACACATAAGAATATAATCTTTGGTACAAGTCTACGGCACTTATGCTTGAATGGTCACATCTGTTTGAAGGAAAATGTGCATTATTTTAATTTTTCCTATTTCATCATTTTTGTGCTTTATATCTTGATATTGATTTGCACTTGATATATCCACTGGCGTCTGCTTTCTTGTTCTAGTGTCAACATACTGCCCCATTGTCTCAATTGCATATACACTGCTTGAGTTTTTTTTTTTTTCGTTACTAATT